TTTCTTTTTTTAGAAATAATTGTTTTACAGCCATTTGACTAATAGACTACTATAAGCTTATGTAGGACATGCTTTCCTATACATAATTTTACAATATTTTTACAAGAATGTAGAGCATCCATGGCGTTCCAGTTCCAACGGCGGGTCGACATCTTTGAACTTGGCACACTAACTGCTGTTTACAGAAATTCTTACTTACTAACTTAAATACATCATCATTATAAAAGTGACCATTATTATAACGACAATTATCATCGCCGTCGCTGAGTTGGTTAGATAGAAATTAGAAAAAGAGAGCGCAGATATATAGACCCAAAACCTAATTAGTAACGTAAATGTTGACCAAGTAAACCTAACCTCAAGGGGCAGAACCTAGTAACCCTAGTGCCCTAAAGCGGAGACCAATTTCCGCAAATAAATATGTAGACTATACCTCTTCGTATTTCTTATCAGCTTCTTCTGCAATTAATTTTGCTTGTGCTAATTGGTTCTCCAAGAGAGCTACTTTGTCATCTTCCATATTTGTGCGATTCTCAAGCGCTTTTCGTATCCTGAATTGTCGCAGCAATGCGAAATGATATACAGATACGGTTAAAGTTATATATATAATATTTGTAACTCAAACTTAGATAATTCTGAAACAATTGCTGTAAACTTAAAAAGTATTTTACATATTGGGGTTCAGTGGGGGTAAATATTGGGTAGTGGGGCATGGATATAAGGTGTAAACGTGGTACTAACCGTTCGCTCTCATCGGCGGCCTGAGAGGCTTCCGACAGCTTGGCTGTAGCGGAGCCCAGACGCTCCTCAGAGCGCTCCAAGTCTTCTTCGAGCAACTGGATGCGACGGTTCAGAGCGGCAACCTCGGATTCGGCCTATAAAACAAACGTTCGATGGTCGAAAGAACCAGATATAGCATATCCATTCGCTAAAACTTAAGGCTAAAAACTTATTATTTAATTTACATCTTACACAGCTAAACTTAAGGATTTTAAAGCAAGAAATACTCATAATTATTTGCTACTTTTGGTTTGGGAAACATCTTACAGAAAAAACTTAACAAAAATGGTTCTAAATTCTTTGTGAGTAAACCATGATTGCTAATAGGAAAAAAAACAACTTCTTTTGCGCTCTCTTTAACCCCATTTACAATTCCTAATTTTGTAAACCTAATTCGTTTCCCTAAAAAGTCGACCGTTGGTCCCATTTTATTTTGTGGCTTCCACCTGTAAAGAAAACTTCATTTTCCTCCTCGTTGTTGTTGTCGAAGCAAGGTCAACCAAAGCCTTAAACGCCCTAAAACAAGCAAATGTTTGCGTGTTATTTTGGCCAAGTGCAATCGATATTCGCCATCATAATACAAAAGTTCAACAACACCGCTACCTGATATGGCAATTAATTCCAAAAAGAAGCCAATGCAAGGTTCTTTGCACATGACGTCATCGAACGAGAGTTTTCCCACCGTCAAGAATCATATACCCATTAAAGAATGGAAAATATTCGATGCTCTATAGCCTTATAGAGCCTCACTTTAAACGATGAAAAGCGAAAACAGCGGGCTAAAAGCACACGCCCAAAAATGGCGAAAAAAGTATATATAAATAAAGTCGAATAAAACTTTGAATCAAAAACGGCTGAAAAGCAATTGGACAAGGCAGTCCGGTGCCAGTTCCAAGTTCCATGTCCATGTCCAAAACCATGTCCAATGACTGATATGGTGCCGGGCATAGAGATAGAGATAGAGCTACTGATATGTACATGGAATGACAAACTGAGCAACTGAACAACTGACCAACTGACGACGCCTAGAACCAAATGAACGATGTGAGTGCGGGTCGTAAAAGTATCGTGTGATTATGAATTGGAACCAACCGTGTGGCTTACGTCATCGTACGAAATATACACACACACATTGGTTGGACGATAAAAAGCATTTCGAATTGGGGGAGCAGGCACCGCAGCTTTCCAAACACGAAAGTCACACAACAAAACCGCCGATGAAGCCCAAGAGCCAGCAACAACGAAAAATGCCAAAATTAAAAAAAGAATTAAAGGAAAGAGCGAAGTTTCGATACCCTTGCCAATATTAACATTTTCTATTTATGTATGTACTTTCAGTAAAAATCAATATAGCAATATTTCTGAGTTTCAAGTAATTGTCTGTTCCTATAGCAACTATAGGATATTGTCATCGATTTAAAACAAAATAAACCTTCTCTCCTAAGACCCCAAAATAAAATTAATTCTTTAATCAATTATATGTATGATTTTTAACTTTCTTTGCTTAAAGAATATTTTGGTTTTTTTTGGGTACTTTACATAAAATGCGTTTTTTTCCTGGCAGCTACAAACAAACGTAACCAAACTGGTAATATTCTGTTCAAGGGTATTCCGAACAACGAAGAGCAAAGCAAAGAAGTTGAAGAGTGACTTCCAGTTGGGTCTCGTTTTGTAGCGGGAGTCTCTGGCTGGCTCTTTTTTCGAACTCATTAACAAAACGTATTGAAGATTAAACGCTTTATTAGCGGACCACAAAGAAGGGAGGTGAAAAAATCTGTGGGCAAAGAAAAGCGGCGACAGAACACGTTTCAAAGAGAGAGGGAGATAGAGACAGCAGAGTGGCCCCCAATTGTTGAGGAATGTATGAAAAATGACCGGCAAAATGCAAAAAAAAATTGAAATGCCGAAAGAAACTCTCCATAAAATCCAATACAAACTGTGGCCGAGAAATTGTACCAGAAATTGTTGACGGCTTAGTCACACAACACCTTGAAATTTACGTGTTTCGTTTTTCTTTTTTTGTTTTATTGCCGTGGCAACGGAAAAAAAACAAGAAAGACTTATTGGAGCGGTACGTAGGGCGTGTTTTTATTGTGATGATGCATTTTTAATTATGAACCGAAAATAAGCCATGAAAATGTAAAACACTTTTTTAAAGACGATGCTCTCAAGCATAAAATATATTTCTGAAAAATTCCGGTGATCAGGGGAAGGGGAAGGGTGGAGCGATGGCGTCATATGCTGTAATCTCCGAATTACGAAACTGGCAAGAGGCAAAGCACACAAATCAAAACCAATTTGTCACAATGCGCGCATTGAAATTATCAACGTTCAATTGCATGAGAAGGAAATGGTGGAAACAGAGGGAAAACGATGGAAAAAGGGGGAAAGCGCGGTGGAGTGACATTGAAAGCATTGTATAGAAATCCAGAATAAAGCAAATTATGTTTTGTTTTAGTTTTTGTTTTCCGTTTTTTGGGGGGAAGCGAAACGTCAATCACTTGCTGGGAGCGTGGAAAACAGTCAACTAGGGAGTGAAATCAGGGTTTAAATTTTTTCAAATTGAAAATCGATTCCAAATCAATAAGAAACGTTACAGTAGAACTTGTTCAATTCGAAGATCTTAAATTTGTCAAATTACTTTGACCACATTTTGATAAATTTTGTTTTTACTTTTTTGTTTCTACAGTTTAAGCTATGGTGTTTTGAATGTCTACCAAAATCTCCCTCAGCAATGACGTCATACACACAATAACAAACACAAAGGAGCCCTCGCGCTCAATTGTCTAATTAGAATTGAATTAGGAACATGGCAGAGCCAATGGGCAAAAGCTGAAAAGGAATTAAGAGAATTAAACCACTTATTGATGACCGTGGCGTAAAAATCATAATTAATCGAATTTAGAACACCGCTAGCTAAACGATGTGGCTTCTTCGCCGGACTTAAAGCCGGTTTTGTCGCTGAGAAAGCAGAAAGCTAGAAGAAAGACCAACCGAATCGCTCAATTTACAAAAGATTTCTTTCTCCTTTTTGGCCTTATGTAAATGCGTGTGTGTGTTTTATGCTAATGTTTCTGTGTGCGCTGTGAAGCGGGAGATAACACATACAAATCGAAAGGTGAATGAATTCGGTCAGCGATAAGAACAGTTAGCCCAAAGAACCAAGAGGGACCGGAAACACCCTGTATCTGAGCCCGAAAATTCGTTCATCACGAAAAGAACAAGAGCAAGACTGGAAAAACCACTGAAGAGTACAAATGAAAGCTAAGAGAGAACAAACCAGAAAGAGCGGTAAGCAACCACTTGTGTTGTCCCGCTCTCACACATGCACACACAGGGCAAAGAAAATGCTGACAGAGAGAGGTGGCGAAAGAAATGCTGGACTATCTTTTTTTCATTTAGTTAGGATTTATGCAAAATCCACAAGACAGGTCACGCAGTTGTTTGCCCAAACCAAAGGGTAGCAAAATTAGCTGGGAATCTGAATCTACTAAGGCTTACTTCTTCGCGGCGCACCACCTCCAATTGCAGGCGCTTGTGGAACTCTTCGCACTCGTCTTTGTACTTCTCCATCTCCTCTTTGGTCTGGCGCATCTTCTTCTTCAGCACGTCCAAGAGAGTGCCTTGTGGAATGCTGGTCGTCATTTCTGTGGTTTTTTTTTCTTCAACTGCAGAGGAGGTTGTGGGTGTTTTAACCGAGAAAGTGTTGGGGCACTTGAGCTCGTTTTTACTGAAGAAGCACTCTGCCTTTTCGGACAATTTCTCTGGGGCAGCACACCAAATTTAATTTACAATTTGGAATTTCGAGGAACGGAACACACACACACGAGCACGAACGGGCTGGAGACACACACACGCATACAGTGAACCACCGGTTTTTCGTTTACTTTTACTGCTTTTTCCCTGGCTTGGGCTAGACTTTAACGGCAGTGTTTTGGTGGCAAAACTAGCAAGGGAACACTTTAAAGAGGAATAATCAGTGTTTAAATATTAAATATTGGCTATTTGGTGGCAAAAACACACACGGAGAGACAACGACGACGCGACTGCGACGAGTACGTAACTGGAAATGAATCCACCGAATCGTCAGTCGAAGCGGCGGTGGTGGTTTGTGCGAGCGGGACAACTACTGCTGACGCACTGCCTTCCAGTCTGTCTGCCTCGCCTAAAACGGTGAGCCTGTGTGTGTGTGTGCGGCTGGAAAACCTGTTAAAAGCCGCTAAAATTCTGTCCATGTCGACATTGTTGTTGTTTTGGCATTAATTAGTGAAGAAATATTTTGGATTTTTGTCATTTCCAGGCAAATAATATTATGCAAAAATCGGACATGTAAAATAGCTGAAGATGAGTAAGCAGGAATGGTGCTTTACAGGTGTATGTGTGTGCCAACGCAACGTACCCTCCACCTCTCCCACTACTTCCACTAATTGCTTCCACTACGGAAAACGGAAAACACAATGCCGGCGCTTTATCATGCTTATCAACAAACAGCGTAAGTGCAACGTAATGACTAATCGTTATGTTGAACACTCATATCCAACTACTCAACCACCTGTAGCTTTTGGCAAAATTTTCCCGACTTCCCGGCGATGGCGTAATTGTTTTGATAATGCAAACAATGAGCGCTTGTCCATTTTTAGCCGGGCGACATTGAAGAGAAATTAAAAGTAAATAAAAGGGGAAGGTCGCTGAGAATCGGCGTTTAATAATTAATTTGTTACCCAATTTTGGCAAATTGAGCTCGGCCACACCGCATGTTTTATGCTTTGGCCAAATATGGCCGGGTTTTCCTTTTAGTTTTTAAACTGTTGCCTTTTTTAGCGTACAGAGAGTTGAGAAAAAACACTAATACCATTTGGCGGTCTTATCGGATCCTCTCTTTCTGCCACCCGCACGCAGTAGGCGAAAGAGGGGGAAAGCAACAGGTGGCCGGCGAGTACCGTTAGGCATTCCAGCAATTGCGTAACTAATTAAACAATTGCCTGCAATTAAGAGAACTTTTTTGTCCAAAATTAATAGAATACTTTTATAAGGGGAATGAATATTTTTTGGTAAAACCTATTTTTAAATAATAGCCAATTTGCAAATAAAGAAATATTTTTGAAAATACATTTCCCATAACTCGTTAATGTAAAGCCGTTTAAACCAAATTATAAACCAAATCGATTTCAAGCAATCTGCTTAGTGAAAGGTGAGAGAAATAAGTGGTATGAACAAAGTGGGTCAAGATATACAATGGCAAAATCTTTAGCGAGGGCCAAAAGAATACAAAAGGGGCGGATAAAGACCCTGAGGCCAAGCAAGGGTTAAGGCACAACTAGAAAATCGCGTAAAGACGAAGACGACGACGTAATCGCTTTGCAATGCGAACGAAAACAGCGAAGGCACCAACAAATTGGAGCAATTGCAGAACCTAACCAAACTTTGGAGACCCCTTTCACAGAACAACAACAACAAGGTGGCTTCTCCGCTTGATGTGTGAAATATAGAAGTTATTGAAAGGTGATTAGTAAGGAAATTGCAATCCACTCCAAGACTCAACCACTAATTACCCTTTTGAGTTGTGTGTTCATGATGTTGTGCAGCTCGTTCCGGATGATGTTGAACTTCATCATGGTGTCCGAACTAAAGATGGACCTGCCGAAAGCCAGTCCTGGGTAATCGGCACAGCGTCCTTTGTTCCGGCGTGCTTCCCGTTCCGCCACAATCTCGGCCGCCTCGCTGGTGCAGCGCAGCTTGGACCACTCCGCCGCCTGGTTGTCGTCGTCATCCGCCAGGGCGATGCCCTCGTCGATGGCCCCGGCACTGAGATCGGTGGCCAGGCTGTCGCTGCTCAGCTCCATGGGATTGGACCGCTTGCTGCGCTCCTTTTTGCCAGAGGACTTCTTTTTGCGGTCGGATTTCTCAGACTTATCCGACTTTTCACCCTTCTCCCGCTTCTTTTTCTTGCTTTTGGACGTGGTTGTGACTGCCGGAGGAACTGCTCCTTCTCCTGTTGGAGCTGTTGGCGGGTTGCTGGCTCCCTCGTCTTGCACACTGCTCTCGTCCGTGGGCGTGGGACTGTTGCTACCCAGGGAATTGGTGACCGATTCGCTGAGGGGCAGGCTCAAAGTGCTTCTGCTTGGGGGCACCACTTCCTCCGGCGGCTGTTGCTCCTCTTCTGGCTGTATCTCACCCCTGAGATTGGAGAGGGCGCTCTTGGAGTCGCCACGATAGAGAGCCGCCAGGATCTCCTGGACATTGGGCACATTGGGACGACGGGTGCCCGAGAAACGCGGATGATGCTGGTGGCCACGTCGCTTCAGCGAGGTGGGAACTAGACTGGTATTGCTGGCTGTGTGGCTGCCAGTGCCACTGGTGCTGGAGTCGTCGTGCTCCATGTCCGAATCGCTCCAGAAGTCGCTTGCTGGCGAAGAACCTCTACTGTTCCTCTGGAGAGTCTCGAACCTTTCGTACAGCTGGGCTAGATATAGCTCCGCCTCCTCATCGCAGTAGTAGAGCAGATCGTCCAGCAGGTTCAGCTGCTCCTCGATGGAACACCAGCGGGATGAGAGTCCCGATGATTCCGATGGCGCCCTCGGATTGCGAGTGTTCCTGCCGGCACCTTGTTTTCTTTGGTGTTGCTGCTGTTTGTGCCTTCCCCTCGACTTATCACTTTTCAACAACTGTTTCTGCTTCTGTTTCGGTTTGGCAACTGTTTTGCCAGTCTGCGGCAGCACTTGTGCTTTTTCTGAAAAGTTAAATTTGGTTTTTCTTCGATTGGAAAATGTTTAAGGGCAGTCAGCCGCTGTTGGCCACTTTTTACTTTTGGTATTTTAGGTATATTTACAAACTGATGTGGCTGTACTAAATAAATCCAATTATTTACTTTATTTTTGTGTAATTTGTGGCCAAAATTGCTACGTGAATTTTTTTTACTGGAACCAGCTGTTGCTGGATCGGGCAGTGTGGCCAGTCTGGAATATGCGTAAAATACCAAATGGCCTGGAAGGGCTGGCTACGGTGCATTTCTTGCTGAAATAGCCAATAAGACTAATGGCACCGTTTCCACTCTTTCCGGCTGATCGAATTTAATTTTTGCTGCGTTGCCAACTACGCGCGCACGGTCTAAGGCTGACTGATAGATCACTCTCAACCTTTTGTGCGCGTGTAGAAGGCAATTCGAATTTCGCATTAAGTAAAATATTTTGAATCGTGAATTGTTTACGCTTATGTTGCGGCTGTTTGTCCTGACCACCGCTGGTCAATAAATGCCGATGAGCTCGCTTGATTTGATGGGCCAGGGATTGCCGGCGCGCCGCGTTGCCAACGAATTTGATTTTCGGGCCTTGTATCACGGTAACGCTATTGCCGGTTAACGGTGGCAGTGTTGCTGTTGTTGTTGGCACTGCTTTAGTTGCATTTTTTTGCCTTTGAGGTTGTTGTTGCTTGACTTTAAGTGCTGGTGTTGTTGTGGTTGTTTGGGGCTTGTTGTTGTATCTCACTTTTTGCCATTCATATGCATTATTAACTTTTGCAGTTCCTATGTTTAATGTTTTCTCGTACATATTAATTATGCGCAATGCTTGTTGTTGTCGTGTGATTTGGTGCGTGCGTTTTAAATTTGTAATTGTTTTTTGTTGCGGCTTTTAAACAGCTGGGCTCATTGTACCGTTAGTTTCGCTATTTTTATTGATGATTTAATACAGATCTCTTGCGAATTTTCATCAGCGCGTGAAAATTGCAAAGAGAGAATTTCCGCCACAGTTTTTATGTAATTGCAAGTCACTAGAATTTCATTTAAAAGTTTTAAATGAAAGTAGTGATTTTTGTACAAGTTGATTGCACCGAACCGAACGGATTTTAATTTAATTTATAAGAATGAGTTTTGGTGGTAATTAATTTAATTAATTTAGGTTTTCTTGGTAGATTTATGAGCGGGCGGCTGCTGCTGGTTTTTCTGCTGCTTTTTCCTCGGCCCCTCGTTGTGTTGTGTTTGTGTTGTACTTGAATTTTGGGACCATGCGCTCACCGTTAGACGAGAATGGGGAAACTCACTCTCTCTCTTTCTCCGTTTCTCTCCCTCTCTGCGTGTGGCACGTGTGCGAGTGAGTCAGCAATATAGATCGCGAGGCACGGCACAACCCTCCCACTCAAAGAGATATAAAGAGAGACAGAGAGGGTGGGAGAAAGAAAATTGTTTCTTCCAAGCAAATAGTTTATTATACTCTCCAGCTCCTTTACTCTCACTCTTTCTTTCTCCCCAATAGAGATACTTTTCAGCATTGATTCATTTAATTGCTTATCTTTGTTTTTTTCTTCTGGTTATTAGTCAGACGTTGTCATATTTATTTTAAAGCCCTGGGCTGGGCCAAGTCAACATTGTGTTTGATTATTTATGTTGTCTGATAAGTATTTAGTTTGTAGACCTCCTTAGCGATAAGTTTTCCAAGCGTTTTACCTGCGAAGAATTTTTTGAAACGATGCCAAATGTCCTTGAAATACTTTCCTAAAATGTGGCAATCAACAGATGAATCGCAATTCGAATTCTTTTTGGAAACACTGAGGCCCGCAGCAAAAAACTAAAGAATTTTCTAGATACAGGCTAATTCAGAGGATGAAAAGAGTACGTGTTTTTTGCGAGAACATTTTTTGGCAAGCCAACAGAGAAATTCAGTTGCGTTATTTGATATCTTGCGCTGGCTATTTTCAAAGAATTTAAAAATAGCGCCTCTCTGCAAGGCGTTGCCAACAGCACACTCAGAAAAAGAGAGAGCAAGAGAACGAGAGGGTCCAATGCTACGTGTCAATTGCTGACTGCTTTGTTCGAAAATGGGAAAATAAATTTATGATGTTATATGGAATTTTAGAAAACACACAAAATTAATGTGTTTCCCAAACAATTTCTCCGATTTCAAGCATGAAATTGGCGTTAAATTGCATCTGCCCCAATTTCAAGAGACTCAACCAAAAAGAACACCCGGCTGTCACCGAGTCGCTTTAAAATTGTCTGGCTATAAATTTATGAGTATTTCTTGCTTTGAATGAATTTCAAAATATTGAGCAGGAGCATTAAAAATACACCTATTTTTCTTAAGAGCTAAATGCCTTATGGTAAATTTTAGAGGGAATGGTATAAGATTCTGAACATATGAAAACTGACAAATGGCGGACTCCATTTTCAAATGATTAATGGAATGTTTTCCTTGTGTTTGAAATGCTTTGTTAAGTGATTTAACTAATTATCACTTCTGGGGTGTTTTTACTATTTTTCTTGTATCTATTTCATTATTTGTCAAACTTAAATTTAAGCTTTTTGAAGAATTTGACTCTAAAGTTAAAAGGTTTTGCAAATAAAATTGTCAGAACATATTTTTCTTACTCAATCATGGGATAACATAACTTGAAAAATTATTTTAAATGCTGAGATTGGAATAAATTCACGTAACTGTCAGCTTTTGATGTTTGATCTAAACAATTTTGTTTCGTTTCCCAAATTGCGGATTCTGAACAGTGATAACATAAGAAATTGCAAAAACGAAATATAAATTTTTTATAATGTTTAAATTTTTCCTTTAATTATGTTTGACTAAAATATTTTTATATTTACAAATTTGAAGAAGAAGGGGATGAGTAAATATATTTGTAACAATTGATTTTGAATTTCGTTAATTAACTAGTGCCTAACAATTTTACCATTAACAGTTTTGTATTTCTAACTTTAAAACGACTCTAAGATATTGAATAATTTGGAAAAAACTTACGTTCTGCAGAGCCTTGTTCTTCTCCTCAAGCTTGCCGGTGACCAGAGTCAGGGCCTCCTGAGTCTGATCCAGCTCGTTCTCAACGGTCTGGATCTTCTTCTGCAGCTGGCGAGCCTCCTCCTCGGCCTACGGATTCAAACAAAATATAAGTATTTTAAAATCAAACACTACACGAAAATTGCATGTGCTAACAAGATTTATTGTGTTGTGTGTAAGCCGGTAATTATGCTTTTTGTTACAGTAAATGTTTTGCGGTGCTAAGTTGGCATTGGAGTGGGTGATAACTACACAGGAAAAAATAGGATCATTTGTAAAAATAGAAGTTTGAGATTTGTTAATCATTTAATAACAAAATTTTAAATATTTTGTATTTTTTCTTACAATTTATACATACATTGGGTTGCACAGGGACTTAATTAAACTTGATTTTACTCATATTACATATAATTTGTTTAACTTTTTTAAATACATTTTGAAATATTTAAATCGAAATCTAATTTATCCTTAAGTACAGGTTTTGATCGTTTTTCAGTCAAAAATAGGATTGAGATATATTTTAAAGCTAAAAATGAAATGTAAGTGAAAAAGGCGAACCTTTTTTTTCCGTGTAACATTTGAGGGGGAAATGGGGTGGCTGACTTACCTTCTCGGCGCGGGTGTTGGCATCGCGTGCCTCCTGCTCGCAGACGAGAGCGCGCTCCAGAGCTCCGTCCTTGTCGACTTTCATCGCTTGCATCTTCTTCTTGATGGCATCCATGTCTGTTTTGTTTTGCTACTACTGCACTCGAAAGAAACTGAAAT